TCCAACTTGAACATCTGTATAATCAGTGGCCAAAACATGTCAAAACCGTGAGGTCTGGACATCAATGCCCTTCAAACAGGGTCGCTTGACTCGGTAGAAGGCAACTGATTTAGGGCACACACCGACACGGAGAGAAGCACTCTACTGGCGCTGTTTGGCGAATTCGATTGTTGAGCCAGGTGGCTTTCCCTCAGTCTCAGTTGTCCATTCACACAGCTCTGTGATAGTATTGTTCTCTACCTGAGGGGCCGTCGGGATGCAATAACCACGAGCCCGGCTTTCATGTTAGCAGCAGCAACAGCAACAGCAACCGCTGCTTGCAAGCGATAGTGCCAACAAATGACAACCACTGACAAGTGCTGGGGCGGCCGACTAAAAAAACGAAAACCACCGACGGGGCACATATGCACATGTACAAACTCACTTCTTGGTGGTTGTTGATCTTTCTTCTTTCATGATGGAACGGCTGTTCTTTGTTGACAAAATCGCGGAGCTTTCGCAGCCTCATCGTGAAGCATGGTCCTAAGCCATGTCTAGTTGACATGAGCTGGAACTACTGCCGGCAACTAAACACATCTTGCAGCATGACCAAGGTTGAGAGTTTCCGCAGCTACCCAGGGTCACTTGCAGCATCTGTGCGGGATTGGAGGCTTAGAATAGAGTCAGGCACAACTCAACCCAATCCTCCTGCCAGCTACCAACACAGGGTGATGCAGCTCGGGACCTGGACTTTCGCAAAGTTTCACTGGTGATTCTCCCGCGGAAGGCATATCGTGTGCAAACAGGGTCGTTGTGTCATCTTCAGGGCTGTGCAAGGTCTTGCAGTTTGTGAGCTAACTTGGGGAAAGACAATCCTGTACGCGCTGTAAGGGCTGTGCAAGGACAGGTTAAGCTGTCGGTTGTCAGGCTGCTAGTCTGTGACAGTGAGGACAGGAATCGGAGAATCCTTTCAACGCTGAGGCTTCAGTTCGTCAGTCTGTGACAGTGGGGACGCGTGGGGACACTTTGATATGAAAGCGAAGACCTTCTATAAATCATTCGCCAACAATAGAAGTTACTTTCGCGAAACTCATCGTGGATCTTTCGCGGATGGTTTTGACATCAGTCGTTTTATACAAACCCCCTTACACAAACCTTAGGATCAACTCCCATATACAGTATTATTAACATTATAGTTAACATTATTAACCAAGAATTCAATGGTCGAAAGAAAGACTGGTTTGATACAAAGTTTGGAAGGAACATAGTCACATTTGCCTCAATGTCAAACTGTTGGGTGGTTGATGGTTGCCAATCAAGGCTGTGGCAGTCCCGGGCTACCTTTTCAGTCATGGTTTAAGACTCAAGATTAGTAACATTTCACAGGTGCCAAGCTCACAGTGTTTTGCTGTTATGAGTTATGAGATGGGGCCCAGGAAGGTCTTAAGATTCTCCAAGAAGGACACGCAAGCCTCCAAAGCTTCGGATGCAGGAGATGCAACATTCAAAAAACAGCTAGGATCACAGACCAGCAACCAAAGGACCCTCACAACTACCCCTTGCTAGATATTTTTAGCATGATTGCCTTGGGAAATAGATCACCACCCCTTAACCATCCGGAATACGCCGACCGTCGAGCACTTGCTATCTAAATGCTTCGCCAAGTCTCTGAGAGCTGCAGTGCTCGACACCCTCCACCAACGGTGGCCAGCCAAACATCCAAAGCTTTTCCATAGCTTAAAGCCACCACCACACCTAGAGAAATCTAGCTGACTGAACGACGTGATCGGAAAAAGTGGTACCAACGCCATCTGTTGTACCAAGTACTGTGCTGGATCCGACCCATCATGGCTATCGTTGGGAATGGAAACTCTATGATTGAATCCAAACATACTGTCCAGCTTGCAAATAAGGAATGCGGTTCGCTGTCATTCTGCAATGGTCCCTGCATGTCCTTGCATCAACCAGGACCAGGAGCATCACCTTCAGCTGAGCGTCGCTTGCCTGTATCCAATGATGCAATGGTGCTCATGCCTCCAGTTGCTTCGTCGTATCTATGAGCCTGGCGCTGTCCACGGGTGCGAACAAGCCGGTCTAGGTTTGTGGGCCACGAGGCTGCAAGGAAGATGAATTGAACTTAATCCTGCACGGGTTATCTTACAAGGCCCCCTCACACCACCCAGCAACCCCCTGCGACATCTACAGTATATCAATAACTATCCTAAGGGTCAGCACCTACAATAATTACCCAAGAATTCCCAAGAATGTATTGAACATCCAGGGCAGGGCCCCGCCCTTACAGGAGCATACAAGAACACAACACGGTCTAGGATTCAAGAAGCATTGAATCATTGAACCCAAATCCCAGCGGGGTTGACGTCACCCCTGGGAATTAAACAACCCCCAAGAAGCATGCAAAGGTTGTCAACAGAAGTTGCTGGGTCACGCAAGCTGTCGGTAGTCACAGCATCTTAAAGCTTACCACAAATGATCACATTTTTTCTCAACGATTTCCCCGCACTCGTTTTCAACAATGTATCCAGTGGTAGTGGTCCGCATACAAAGACCCACATCCAGAATATTTACATATTGACATTTAACCGGCAAACATTATCCACTTACTCACGTCCCCGGCGGAGATGTTGTTTGAATTAAAGATATATATTCCGTATTGAACTGACATTGTACATAATTTACATCAAACATGTTTCAAAGTTGCTGCAGGGGAATCAGTGTGCAAAGCAAAGCGTATGACCAATCTGAAGGCCTCCCCGTCAAACCGGTTTCTGCCCAACCCATGAAGGCACAACGCATCACTGCAGGCATCCCGTAAGGTTACATCCTCCTAGACCACTGCTTCTACCTCCCCCGTCCTCAGCATGGAGAGCTCCATGCCCTTCTTGCCTGGACCACATTGGGAACCTCTTTCGCAGCTTTCTCGCCACCCCCGCCGCAGGAGAGGAAGACCTTTTGGCCATCACTGGCCAAGCCCAACACTGGAAAGGGCGGATAGTAGGTGCCTCCAGCGGTGTGACGGTCCCTGACAAAACTAGGATTGAAAAGAGGGATTGATGTATGTCCACAAAGAAAAGCAATATTTTGATGCTAAGGCCAGTGGATTTTTGTTTGCATATGTCTACTTTTTTGCAGAGTAGGTCACTTGCAAAAGGCCAAGTCTGAAACTCATCACAAACTTCGGCAAACAGTTTTTTTCATGTCGTACTTGGGGCATGAAGCGTCAAGAACTCATGCTGGTGATCCATGGCGATCCCACATCTCGCAGCGCACGAGAGCTTCGAGAGATGCACTAAGCACCCCACCATTCTTCCCTGCCTCCGAGATTTCGGCGCGATGGAATTTGAGTCTGCAATCAATTCCAAGGGTGGAACTTTGTTTTGTTTTCTTGTTCTAAGTGTTCTTTCAAAGGTTTCAGTAACACCCACGCATCCGCTGTTGCGCACCACATTTCGTGACTGCAAAGAATCTTTTTTTTATAGTAAGAAGACTTAGTCAGTTGCTCAACATCCACGCTATCGTGCTCATAGCTGCAACAATCGAGTTCAGGGGGGATGACGATGGCCCATGCAACAACCCTGTCCTGCATCACCAACTGGCGCGCTTGTGGACGTCAGAATCTATATAACTAAAGCATACTTTCCTTGAGCCATATCTGGAAGATTCTGGAAGGCATGAGATTGGAAACAGCACATGACACCCATCACAAGCAAACTCGCCTCTCTTCTTGGCAACATCACTGCTTGACTTGTTGACCAGGCTCCGCCAGGCTCCCGGGCAAGCGTTCTGCCTCTTCCAGCCCCAACTGCTCTACTGGGATGCCTTTCGCCGCCTGCTCCGGCTTCGTTCCGTCGGTCTTGGTCTGCTGGTGATGTTCCGGATCGGGTGCCGTAGCGCCGGGGTGCCGTACTGGGGCACAGGAAAAGGTGCCACACCCCCCAGTGCTCAAATAAAAGCTATTGATTAGTGTAATGGTTTTCATACCTGCAGCTATTGTTGAGATCACATACGTTGTGAGAATCTTCTCCCAATACAATACCTGCCAATTCAAGCGCATGCTTCTGGCAAAAGAGGCCCAAGTTCGGTCTGGTAGACTCCCTTATATTCTACGCCAAGCGTGGCACTAGCTCCCTGAAACGGCTGCTTGAGCATTCATGACAGAGAGAACACAACCGTCCTCTTCCACGCACGCACGTGGACCAAAAAAAAGAACTCTTACTCAGTTCTGAGCAAGATATGCATGATTACAAGTAGAACATAGTAGAACACGTGCACATCATTAACATCCTTCATGACATCCACATAAATAATCATAGATACCTCTTCTCCCACCAGCTCGATGATGTGTCTTCTGAGCTTCTGGCGCACTCGTCCTGCAGCAGCTCGCTGCGCATAGAGCCACCCCAGGTGGCAACTGCCTGGGTACACTTAAGTTCACTGTAATCGGGGGCCGTGCAGTGAATCAAATGAAGATGTGTCTGGTGTGTCTATGTGCATCAATGTGGTGTGCCTCTTTGGATGGATGCTCAAAAGTGATGGGAGCCCCTGCCAAGACTTCCACCAACTCATCTCGATCCAAAGCCTCAGCTATTCCCGTTGGGACTTTCCAAAGAACATCAACACTGCTGGAACTTTTTTTTAGAATGTGAACAATGCAAATTCTCCATGATTCATCATGATTCTCCTCCATGCAGCAGCGGCCTATCGGCACGCCGGAACACATTGGGTGAAGAGAGGCCAACTCTGACACCAGCAAACATGCTGACCCCATCCCATGGCCTTTATTCTTCTTCAACTTGCGGAAAAAAACTATCTATAGGCTATAGGTGTACACTTTTGGAGAACAACTGCCCGCGTGGGGCAACTCTTGGTGACACAAAAGTTCGGAGGAAGGACATTTGTATTTGCAGGGGCTGGTTTGCCGCCAATCATGCTATGCTGTTCTACAGATGCCTGAGGTCATTTGAGGCAGCCATGTTAAAGAGGACAACACCAATTCGCAACTAGCCCTTTTTTGGTGCAAAGGCATCCAATGGCATTGCGCTGACTGAAATGAGGCGTCAAAGCTGTACAACCCCTGAGGCATCTCGACAAAGTCAAAGTGAATGATGACGAGAGCTTTCGTGCAATACAAGTCACGAGATGTCACGAGCATGGCTAGAAAGCCATGCATGGAAGGCTGGCTTGCTCATTGTTTGATTAGGTCTTCAAACGTATGGACCCTGTACGGCATGCTCACCACCTTCCTGGATTCCTACTATGAGCTGATCATTGATGGCCGAAAACATGTGCTTGCAGCAGCTACCTCTTGCAAGAAGCGCAAAAGCCTTGGCGAGGTGCAGGGTTCCGGAATAGATGCAGCCTCTGTGATCGTCAACAGCGCAGGCTGCAAGCGCTGCAGCTTCAAGGAGTCCAAAAGCTTCAGGGGCCATCGCCACAGTTTTGCAGTTTCGAAAACTCGTGTCACAGCTCGTGAGCAAGCGCCAATAGTAGACGTCCAAGACAAAAGATCCGTTTCCACTTGGCGTTCCAAACCCTGAGATAAGAGCTGTAGTGCCAAGGCCCACAAGAACCGTCGCTGAGCCACGGCCACGGCTGCATTCACCGCAGCAGTCGACCTCGGATTTTCATGCAGAACCCAGAGCGCCAAGAGCCACTGACCAGAGGCCTCAAAAGCAGCGATGCCAGCAGTCTGTAGAATCGGATCCTGCCGAAAGTCCTGAAGCTGAGTCCATTGATTCCCTTCAAAAGGATGCTTCACTTGGCCCCGAAAGACATGGTCAAAATCCTGATGTCATGATGGCCTGAACCTGTGATGTCAGGTCTCCCTAAGCACACCCTCCCGTCCTGTGACATTTCAGACATCTGCTGAAGGGCTAAATCCCAAGACAAGACCGAAAGGGCAACACCTGGCGAAACACAGGGCTAGCTCCACATGAAACCACCATGTTACACAAATCTTCAGAAAACTCTCATTTAAAGGGGGAATCACAAAGAACCCCATCACCAAAGAAAGGTTGGCCCCCGGCCCCCGGCCCCCCGAACCGCTGGATTTTTGGCCACTGGCCTTGCGCCACTCGATCCACCTCTACCGCTCCAAAGCGCATCTCCTGCAACACCTTGGTCGCTTCCGCCCTCCGCCGTGCGCGTGCCAGCGCCACCACAGTGGTGGTGAGGGCCGTGAGGGTGCCCATCGTAGGCACTGCGCGGAGGGTGACCAGTGTGCGCTGCCAATGCTGGGCATCTGCCACGGTGCTGAGGCCTTTTCCAGGGCGGCAAATGGTGCTGACTGCATATATGTGTTTCGGTGAAACGTCGTGACACCAAAACGGTGTCGGGTTGGAGGTCCAAAGGAGTCCAAACAGCTGAACTGGTGAGTTGTCCATTCCAAAGCGACGGTCCTTTACTGTGACTTTGGCGGTCCGACGGTGGGCATTCGTTGCAAAAGCAAGGCAAGTGTGGGCTTCAGCACATTGGGAATCAACCAAATGGATCCAAATGGAGCTTGACATCAAATCCTCTGCACCCTGCCTGCGGTCATGCCAGCTTTATTCAATTGGAGCCCATGAGCTGCACTTTTCAAGAAGACTTCAAGCGCCTTCTCCCAAACAACCGTGCCAACCAAAATTGCTGCAGCAACCTCGTCCAAGAGCAAACTCTACACATTTGAACCTCTTTCTGTTCGATACTGACCTCGCACTTGGATACACTTGGTGCATCTTGGTGCAATGCTCCTACGCTACTCATTCGGTCCCGAAAGAAAGAACATAATGGACAAATCGTCGGGAAGCATCTGTAAGACGTAGAGCCCTCCGAACCAGCTCCGCAAAGCATCCAAGTGCGGTCACCCACTTGCTCTTAGGGTGGGCTTGTAGAGTGGAACCAAGCCTCGGCAACAAATGTTGGTCTCTCTCCAAAGGGTTGCCCTCAAAGATTTTGCACAGTCATGTAAAGTCTACTCACTGATGACAATGACAATGACTGCTCAGTTCATGTTGTACGCAGACTTGCCTAGCACAAGGTTGTTCAAAACGAAATGGGCAGCAACATGGGCTGAATTCTTGGGAACTCTTTGAACCTCTAACAAACCACTTGAAATGCCATTTAGTATTGCTGGTGAGGTCTTTGTGCTGGCGAAGTCTTCGCAGCAAGTAGCAAAAAGGTGTTTAGCTGGATGCTTCTGTCCTCTCCCATCTCCAGAATCATCAGTGCTTTTCTCCACTGACTCGAAAGATCTCGCTGGTGTGCAGACGCCGTGGAGGCAAGCAGAATGACCTCAACGGGGTGTTGTTCACCATATACATTACATGCACATACGCAACCATACACAGCAAACAGAAACCAGAAAAACATCAACCAAAACATACCAAAACCAGCCCTTTGGGTCTTAGCAATTGCGATTGATTCTTTCGCTCATGGCAAGAGACGTTGAGTTCCAGTTTTCGTTCGAAGTGGTCTTGGAGCAATGCGCTGGCTCCACACCAAGAAGCTGCATTAGCACAAGCAGAAATGCAAGCACCAATGCTGACCGAATTGGGTGAGAGATTGATGTTGTCCATGACCTGCCTAAGCTTCACCAAAAAAGTCCAAGCTAAGCAATATCGATATATCCCTCTCATGATCTCTCATGAAATCATATGATGACCGTGTCTACCGGGCTTACCTATAACATCCTATAACTACAGGTATACAAACCGATGAGCTCAGCAAATGGCAGCTTGCAGTTGCACGACTGCCTGGCCCCAAAGCACCGGATCTCCACTTGCACAGGAGGCCAGGGCCGAGTAGCCCACCACATCCCGACGCAACTGGTGGCAGAACATCCGTGTCAACAAAGAGGATGTATACTTCCAAGTTGATACGAGCTGAGATGCAATTGCGGTGTTGAAGCTCATTTCGTCCACCAAGCTTTGAGATTGCACATGTCCCAGAATTCCAAGGGTAGATGACCAACTCTGTTTTTGAGAGCTCCCTTGGAGCAAGGTGTTCCAAGTGAAGCAGTCGGATGAGACGCCACTTTTTAGCCAAAGCATTGCCTTTGTCCAATGTCCACGAGAGCAAACTGCCTTCAGCAAGATGTTCAACATGGTCAAATCTCCTTTCAATCCTCTCCGTTCAAACTGCCGATACTTTTCCAGTGCCTGTGCCCAACGACCTCTGCGTCCCAAAGCTCCAATCCTTCGGCTCGTGGAAAACAGCGAAGCCGAGATGCTCGTCTCATCTCCCATCGTCGCAGCCCCCAAGGGCCACGAGTCTCCGTCATCGTTGGATGCGCACCGGAGTGGGCCCGCACAGTTGGTGCGGCCACGTGTTACTAGTAGCCTCTTGCTACTAGTAGTAAGGCCAGGAGCGCACCTAGTAGCGTCCTTGCTCCTAGTAGCGATGCCCTTTGTTACTAGTAGCTTCTTGCTACTGGTAGCGATGGCCTCCAACCTAATAGCGATGGCCTCCACCTAGTAGCTTCTAGCTATTAGTAGCGATGCCCTTCTCAAATAGAGTGGGGCACTCATGGTGAGGATTCCCGAAAGAACATACAAATGCCTTGTAGCTCGGAGACTTCAAGGGGCGAATGCTGGCGAATGTATCAAGAAACATCATGAAACAGCATCCAATCTTGAAGGAACAAACTCACTGTGCCAGATTTTGTCGCCAATTCTATTTTGCAGGAGTGGTTTCATTCAGATTCATTCAGCACTGGAGCCCAAACCCTGAAAACACTGCCTGCTGAATCCTTCAACTGCAATCCTCGAGATTCATCTATCTGTGAAGTCTGTATAAGTCATAAGTCTGTCACATGACCTGCCCACATAGGTGGACCCCAAATATGTACTGCTTTTGCCGTAGTACCAGTGAATGACAGTGAGGATTTTTGAAGAATGAATGGTAGTGACGCTACTAGGGGCTCCTGGCATCGCTACTAGGAACAAAGACGCTACTAGGCGCTTTTTCAAATCTGGATGAACCCACTAAGCCTTCCGGCCCGCCCGGCGCGGTGCGCACCGCTGGCCGCCAGATCTGCGGCCACACAGCGGCCTCGGCCGCGCGGTCTGCGTCGATGTAGAGCATTTCTTGCTGTGAGGCAGTGAGGGGAGGGGGAAGTGCTAGAGTAAACGACAACTTCCAAAAGAATGTGTTTGGCGATCTGCCTCTGGCCATGGTTTCTGGCCCAAAAGACGACAAAGGTAGGGTAGAACAGCCTGATGGTCCTCATCGGTTGGTCTGGACCCTGGACAAATACGAGTGCCCTTTACATGATGCAAATTAAAGAGAAGTTGGAGCGAGCCCTGAAAGTGATTCAGGCAGGAAACCAATTGAACAAATGTCAACAGTAAACCGGGCAGCCGAAACCACATTGTCGGTCATGGTCCGGGTCCCTCAGAAGCATCTTTTTATCTCCCCTCGCCGCTACGAGCAAGGTTTTCAGCATGTCTAAGGCCAAGTATGGTTTCATAACGAGTTGGTTGGAAGATCAAACGACGACTCTCGATGAGGAAGGCTCTTTGGTCGTCCTAGGAAAGCTTCGTAGTAGGAAGCTCTTCCAACAGCTCTGCTTGGATATAGGTCTCACCTCCCAGCACGGACCCCATCAGCGAACAATCTACCCAGTGAAGCCATGCTGACATCGACCAAAGGTAGCGATATAGCGAGCAGAAGTGAGCTGTACTGAAAGTCGCGGGAAGAACTACTACCTTTGATCATTCAAGATGACGCCTCAATTGATTTCTGCACCAAATAGCCCTAGTTTCCAAGAGGACACATCAGCTCGTTGTGCATGTTGTAGACTTTTGGAGGGCTATGGACATGGAGTCCCTCTGAGCCTCTGAGCAATTCGGTCCTTGATTTCGTGCTGATCATGTTGGTTACCGTAATTATCCGGAGCATTGTTATATGAATCATGAATCACAACTCTTGCGCGCGCCTGAATCCTCAGGCTGAAAGTCCTTTCCCTCCTGATTCTGTGCAATCTCCTGGAGCCCGGCTAGGTGTGGTCACAAATGCGAGCAAGAAATTAGAGACTTGATTTATGCCCTGCAGGTGGCAAATGATTCTTGCTCCCCAAACATCTACATAGGAATTCACAGCGTCTGCATCTAGTGGGAAAGCGTTGAGGATCGGGCATCATTACCTGCTGTTGCAGGTGCCGGAGAGTTGGGTCTTATGTAATATTGTGAATTGTTATGTGCCTATTCAGCGAACGCTCTTGTATTTCATGCGCCTGTCAAGGATGTGTAAGCAAAATACTCAGTGCTTGAGCAACATATTATATATACTATATATGTGTAAATACATACGAATGGAATTGTGCTGGCTACAGCACTGGTGTGGCCAACAACATCAAGCAGCCGTCAGCCGTCGGTGTCACCATGCGGAACGGCGCCATCGCTCCTCCCAAGGCAAGGTCTCCCATTCAAAGTCATGAATGAAGGCACGGTACGAGACAAACGCCTTAGAGCCGAAATGAGGCAAAGCATACTGTCCTCCATGGACTCCTTTAGGGCAACTCTCAACGACAAACGGATATGCAATGGATCTAGTCATTATTTGTTATTGTGCGTTTAGTTACCCATGGGAGAGATCTTCGTCTGGCTAGGGACGTACGTCCAGCTAATTTACTTTTTGAGTCTCCACAATTGACAAATACAGGATGATCATGAGTTCACCCATACGACAAGCGCAGCAAGGGTGCATAGATGAACGCGACCACAGCAAAGCCCGTTGGAACGTAGTTTGGCGCCCGTGCCTCGCTGCGTTGAAGTGAGATCTGAAGATGTGGGGAGGTCGGAGGTCATATCAGCCCTGTAGAACTTGAAGTGAACAGTCGCCACAAGCTCACTGACAAGTGAGTCTTATATGGTCTTAGAACATGTTCCCCTCTATTTACCAGGAGGCTACTAGATTGTGCTTTGGCAACTTCACCAAGCCATGATTCGCTAAACAGGCCAATCATCAACAGGCAGTAGAAGAAGAGCCCTGCATAGATGTGGTGCAGCTGAGCGATGAAGAAATAGCCACCTGAATCCTCCTTTCTGGTCTCCTCAGTGCCGTTGGATCAATCCGAGAGCATTCCTTTCGTCTCCTTGTTGGAGTTGTCAGTTGATGGCATCTTTCAACATGTTTGGGCTGAACTCATTGCATGTTGATACCCCCCCCCGAGTAAGCAAGGTTACCACTTGAGCCCATGTATACATGAACTCTGATCCTACCTTGGCCCTGAACTCTTTCAACTAGTGTCGCTACTGCCATGAAAACGGTCTCAGCAATGGCCAAGCAGCTGCATACACAACGAGGTATCCATAGATCACGCGGCCTCGGAAAGTGGAGTCGACATAAGTGGCCACTTGAAGCGAAAGAAGGACATCCAAAACGGTCCGAAGGACATGGACAAGTTCGGACCAACAGCGTGGCAGGCCAGTGTCATTCCCTGGGTGCCTTTCAGGCAAGGTGCAAAGGTAGAAGTTGATCCACGCCAACAAGTACATCAAGGGCGAGAGAGTTCCAAATATGATAGCAATAAGCATGTTGATGGTGAAGCGTGCGCTCCTGACACTGAACAAAATCACCGTGTTACATCGAAACACCCAGATCTGGCCACCAACTGCCACCAGCCCCATTCAATAATGATCATCAATCAGAATCAACCATGCAGGTGAGCAGAGCTACCCGACATGTCTTCTCCTGGAGTGTTCTTGAGTTAGATTTGATCATACACAGTATTATTTACGGTATGTATATACATATATAGTCATATTTAGTTAGACTGCCATGTTGGATGGCAAAGTAGTTGCAACCTGCCCAAGACTTGGGATACCACAGGACTTAAGCTCTGCAAACAAAAAACAGTAGTACTGGGAGGTGGTGGTGCTAAGTCGCAGCCCACATATTATCCAGCAAAAGAATTTACTGTAGTCAAACAACTTCTTCTCCAGACTGTCACATTGCACATGCTCAAAGCCTCTTGTTCATTGACAAATTGAGTGCGACCATTCTTTTCGTCAGGCCGATGCACGGCATGTCACCAGCTCCGATGAGTAAGTCTGCACATCTCACCGGGGCTGTCAAAGATCAGCGCTCTCACGGAGCGATTGATCCAGTGACCATGGAGGATGCCCACCTGTACAACATCCATCATGGCCGAGCAGCTGAAAGGCTGAAACAGCTAGGAAATGATGGCTCATCAAGGCGCTTCAGCTGCTGGTCGGACCTCACCTTGGTTGGATATTTATGTCTGGTCAGACCTCTTCCTTTCAACAACTCTCCAATTCAATTGGGATGCTATATTTGGCGCACTGGAACAGGACGCTACTACTATTATATAACAAAGGGCATCGCTACTACGAGCAAAAAGCTACTAGTAGCTCCTGGCAATACTGTACTACTAGGAACAAGAAGCTACTAGTAGCAAGAGGCAAAAGGTCTTAGTCCAAGGCAGGGGCCCGCATCCTTGTTCCTAGTAGTAATGCCAGGAGCTACTAGTAGCGCCCTTCCTGCTAGTAGCGATGCCCTTTGTTCAGGTCTTTGCTTCTAAGGTGCCATCACGGTAGGCTCTTGGCTCAGCCTTGGGATGGCCCTCAAACGCGATACACCAGTCGGTACGAGGCCTGGCCAGAATGTGCTGGAATATTCATTCATTTCATTCATCCCAGGCATATGGGCAAAGGATTCAGAATCATTGTGGAACAAGAAACAGCAAATAACTAAGTCAAAGCTTTTGGTATGTGAAGCTCAATCCGGTCGTTTCGAGATCCCCATTTCGCCCGTTTCGCCTGATCACCGACCCATCTTTGCACACGTCATGGCCAAATTGCCCTGCGCAGCTGCTGATGCTTCTGGGATCTGTTGGATCACTGATGATCAAGTGGTTTTAAAATGGTTTAAGTATCATGGTTTAAGTATCATGTTGAGTCTGTCAGGATACAACAATCTACTGTATAACGCAAGAAATTAGGACATCAGGACTTCAAAAACTTCTCAGAAACTGCATGGTCAGCAGAAGTTCCCTTGCATTGGGCAATGGGTTGCTCAAGGCTCTGGACTGGCACCTGCAACCATCTGGGTGTCATACTGAGTCCCGTTGTCATCCACAAGAACTGGCACCTCAGAAGGGAATAGAATTGAACATATCCCCAAAATTCTACACACAAGGTCTGGCTCTGAGCGGATTTGGATTGCACAAGATCTCACTCCGGTATCTTGATGTGTGGCCCAGTGACTGAAACGGCACCCACTGGAACACGGCCCGTCTCGATGTCAGGCCATGCCTGTGAGGCAGCCTGCAACTCCATTCGGCACAGGCGGCTGAGGAGCAAAGGATGCAATCTTCCCATACGAACCAAAAGCAAAGTATTGGACTGAATGACGCATATGGTGGTCCCCTAACCTAGATAGCCTACCATTGAACTACAGGTCAAACACGAAAGCAAACACAACTTATGTATCACCGAGAATCTTCCGCGCCAAAGGTTCTGGCTCGATCATCGCCACGCCACTCGCCCTTGTTTGAGAAAGCGGCAAAGACCTCGAGTGGATCCTTTCTGTTTCATTCCTTGTCAGGATTTGTCAGGTCTCATGACAAGGGGTTAAGGATGAAAGATTGGACCAGCAATCTAACAAACACGCCATCGAACTCTAGTTTTGGTGGCTTGTGCCGTCGAGAACGCCGGCCGGACACCACCGGATCTCGGCCAGACGCCCAAGGCACTGTAATCCAACCAGAGAGATAGCTTGGTCCAGATCCTCCACCTTTGTGATGACCTCATGGAATTCGTCGGCCCCCTCTCCATCGAAAGTTCGACCATCTCTTGATCTTGCTTTGAGGATGCTATAATTAGTGATGCGAACTTCCAGGAACGGTTGACACCAATTCATCTTTGTTTATCATGGCTCTTCCAATTGAAAGGTCCTTCCGTCAGCTCAGGTCCCTTACACCTGTTTGGGCCGCTTCTCTACAGTCGCGTGCACTTCAGGTGTTGGCCCTGTGGGCCACTCATGGCCACTAAGCTACTTCCCTTTGACTCCTTGCTGTGAGGGAAGCGAATGGCATCGATGGTGGTGGCGGTGGTTGTGGTGAGCTTTCAGCTCTTTCACCCTCTTGACCAACACACACACACAAGCACTCAACAAAGATGCACACGACCATGATTGGAACAGTTCAGTGGGGTTGCTTCCTGCCTCTCCCGCACGTCAGCCTTTTGATGGCTTTCATCCAAGCGGCACACCCGGTCCCAGAAGTCGAGCTCATTCCTTTGCATACGTGCAAAGAGCACAAAAGCGTGGTGACACCAGAAAACGAGCGATCAAGTTCAGAACACTTGGATATCTCCAACAATCTGCTGGTGTAAAACACTCTTATATTATGTCCATCAAGCATATGAAACACGTGTTTCAACCTCTGGAGTCTGGATGACCCTTTTTTCCCCCCGGGATCGCTGCTGGCTTGTTGGACACCATTGACCACCGAATCCCGTTGCTGCTGAAGGTGCTTTGGTGATGAACGGTTCACTCATGTTCCCGGAATTGGTGCACATATGTGCATCATACTTGAGGCCAGGGGGAGAGGTCGAAAGCTAGCCGAATCGCACCGGATGTACTAGTTACATAGTCGGCAAAGCATGTAGGGATGACATGTTTTGGGAGGAAGGTTGCTATGTACATACTTTGCGCTAAAGAATGTAAATGTGACATCGCTGACTGGGAAGGGTACATTGGAACAACCCGGGTGCACTCGTTGGCAAGCACGAAGATGCGTGATCGGCAAATCTGGGGGGTAAATTTACCCTCCGCTTTTGTATGCCTTGAGTCGGAAAGAGGGGTAAGCATTTCTGACATCATACGGACTGTACATACACTAGGGCGTCCGTAGTGTAGGAGAAGCACGGGTAAAAGGTATATGGAATAGAGTGTCTTGAGGAAATAGCCGGTGTATGGTTATTGCAAATCTGGGGGGTAAATTTACCCCCCGCTTATGTATGCCTTGCGCTGGAAAGAGGGGTAAGCATTTCTGGCATCACAAGGACTGTGCATACACTAGGGCGTCCGTAGTGTAGGATA